CTTGGTCCTAAGAATTTCCTTTATTTTTTCGAATAGTTCTATTCAAAACTTGTGGAAAAAATCCATGCAAAGGAAGAAGAGGAGAATAATATGCAAGCCAAGACTAAGGTGAGATTTTGGTGCTGATTTCATATTTAAAATGTTAGATAGGATTGTGCAAATGAGTTTCTTGATCTTTTCTTATTTTGCTTGTAAATAGGAAACACAGGATGCTGAGATTAAAATGTTAAGGAAAAGTCTGAAATTCAAAGCGACACCAATGCCTAGCTTCTATCAGGAACCTCCACCACCGAAGGTGGAACTAAAGAAGGTACGATATTGCTTGACACAAATTTTAAAAGCACAATCTCTTACAAATGGAACACTGTACAAAAATATAATTACTAAACTTGAATATGTTGTATTGTAAATTCTAAACATATTTTTAACACCCTTCTCTCTCTCTCTCTCTCTCTCTCTCTCTCTCTCTCTCTCATGTGATCTCTTGACTTTTCAACTTGATTGATTGGATTTGGATAGATGAGATATACTGGTAAGATGATGTTGACGCTGGAACTTAGTACGATTGCATTTGGATATGAATAAAGGATGAAAAGCATAAAAAAATCCAACCTGCTACTGAAAAGTAGCAAAAAACCTCGTGCTGTTTTCAAAATAGGCTAAATAAAGCTTACCCAGTGTTTAGATACCCTGTCATTACTAGGTCCTTGATCTCCATGCTGGAATGTGACTTACACAAAATCTTGGTCTTCTTCTACCCAAAATATCATACAGAGAGACCCCTGTCATCTAAACCCAGATCTAATATTCTTCTAAATTTGTCTGGTTTTAAGTCCAAATTTGAGTAGAATTATTTTTCTCCCAACACTGAGGTTGGAATAGCTTTTCGTGGTATGTACAAGAAATGACAGTTTTGCGAAATTGGTGTGGGGGTTTTGTTAGTCTTGGCCAAGGCATTCTTGATTCTGATGTTAGTAAAGTTCATTTTGTGATGGTTTAATATGATGGTGGCATAACTTGTGGCTGTGGTCGTGGCCCTCGTGGGTGATTGTTCCCAATGGAACTTGCAGGACTATGATGGTTGCATTTGAAGGCTGTTAGTTTGATATTTTGTGGCTCAAAGACAGTAATTTGGAATTTATGCATGCTTAGTACACAATGTTGGCCAAGCCTAGACACTACAATGAAAAAAGATTTTAGCCTAATATTGTCCAGTGCTCTACTGTCCTCCCTGGCAAACGTACAGTATCATAATGGCGTTAGTATGCACCAACAACCGGGCTAGTGAGGACGGTGTGTCGTGGTAGTGAAGTTAATTATTTTATGCACGTTCTTGGTGAAAGCTTTGTTGCTATCAGAATGAGAATGTTTAGAAAGTGTTATACGTAAATGTATAGAATCAAAATTGTATATTGACACTAGAACAAGGTATGTTAATTTTCCCTCCCTCCCTCTCTCTTCATAACTTGAAATTACCTGTGTAGTTGCCGTAGTTACAGTTTGTTATCTTTTGGTTTAACTACATTGTATTTATATCCTACTTTGATGTAGATACCTACAACAAGACCTAAATCTCCGAAGCTTGGTCGGAAAAAGAGTTCACCAACTGCCAATTCTGAAGAAAATGGCAGTTCCAATGCTATTCCAACTAGGCTAAGCTTGGACGAGAAACTGTCACAAAATAACCCTACCAAAGGACCTCTTGCCCATGTCAAGAATTCATCACGGAAATCTCTTCCTCAGTTGCCGTCTGAGAAAACTACCTTATCCAATGAAAAGAGAAAAGCTTCATCTCATATGACAATTGTATCTAAGGAGACAAGTGAATCTAAGTCTCAGCCGAGCAACTTATCCCGGGAAATGAGTGGAGCTGAATCCGTTACACAAAAACAAGAGATGGAAAAAGCGGTTGAATCGAGCAATAACGAACCTGCCAACGTTGACGAGTCTGTTGTTGAAGCACAGGCAAACCCCGTGGTGCTGGAACCCATTGTAGTCTGATACTAAATCGACAGCTTGGAACCAAAATGTAAATCTATTAAGCTGCCTTTCATACTAAATCTGAATAAGATTTGATTCATCCAACAGGCATGAGGACACTGTGTATTAAAGGTTGATGGTCGTAGTATCCAAAGTTGCCTACAAGGTTTGATCATCTGATGTGCTTTTCAAGATTGGTCTTTAGAATTGCATGACGATTACTGCGATATATGGTTCCTTTTGGTCATTTTGTTGTCCTAAATTATGGTTATGCATGTTTCTGTCGTCTGAAGTTGAAAATTCGAAATTTTTGAGGAATCCTGCCATCAAATGGTTCAAGATAAGTGTTGGACTGTTATAGGTTTTAGTTTGGAAACTACTTTGGGCATGTATTGCTTTTGATGTTCAGATTAAACAAAGGGTATCTTTTGTCAGTTAAGGTGTATTATATTTGTTTGCATAACCCTTTTTTTAATCTTTTTCTTCGTCTGTGTTCGTCACACCTCTCGGGTTCAGACATTTTCAGAACAAGTGAATTCATGTCTGGCAATCGAATCTTATTAATCTTGATTGCAGCCATCTTGATCTAGTCATTTATATCAATTGATATTAACTGCTTGTTTTGTCTGAGGGTGCAACGAAAAGTCCTGGTTAATACTTGGGACAGTTCAAATTCTTGAGTTTTATTTTTTTATTTTTAAGTTATTCTTATTTTAATTGGAAATGTAGACTCAGAATTCACTCGAAACATAGACTAGCGTTGACTATGGTTGAGTGATTTCACTCTTACGCATTGCACTCTTTTCATCCTAAGTGTGAGGATAGGATTCAACTATGACCAGACTATTTTTATACTTAAACGAGGGGAAAATCGGTGAAGCCAATTAAACCCATTTGCACTATTTGAATAAGGTTAGAGAACCCCATTTCAATTTTCTCGTAAGTTGTTTAAACTGTCAAACTCGGTTTAATCACAAGTCCTGAAAACTCGGTTGAATAAGGTTAGAGACCCCAGATTTTTAAGGGCCCATTTTTGTAGTGGCCCATTTTTTTTTTAAAAAAAAAAACCTAAGCAGCCTTCAAGCCATTCACTTACCTCCAGCAAAATACACGGAGCGAGAAAGAAAACCGTGACTCCCTGCCTGAGGCCGTGAAGTCTTGAGGCTCGTCGCTCGTGAATCCGTGATTATTGTGTAAGTATTTTGTAAGGCAGTAATCTAGCTCAGGTTAAGGTTGCTCAATGATTTTTTTTTTTTTTTTTCCTTTATATACTTGTTTGTGATTGAAACCGTAGCAAATTAGCAATAGACATTGTTAGATTTTGTGGGAACTTTCTGGTGTCTACTGAGAAGATAAGTTTTGTGAAAATTTATTGTTGGGAATTTACCTCCCCCACAGCCCAGGATTAATGCAGATAACAGAAGGAAAATAGCACCAGCAATTGCAAGATGAAAAGGCAGAAGAAAACATGTATAAACCAGCAAGAAAATAACCAGCAGCAAGAAGTAAACTACAGATTATAACCAGGAAGAAAACCTCTTCCTCAAGCTTCTTTATTCACCAAGAAACTCAACATTCAATTACATGAATCAATCACCATCTCAGGTGATTCTTCTTACACNATTTATATTAGCACTTGAGGTGGAAGTGCTTTTTTTTCTAAATTTGCGAATTAGTAAAGTAATTTATTGGCCCTTTTATTGAGTGTTGGAATTAATTGATAAGGTGTTAAATAATTAAATGTGATATTTAATTATTTGGGCATTACAATTAATTTGTGGACTATTTTTCAAATTATTTTTTTACTTATTAATTAGCTGCGAGGGAGAGTGAAATTAATGGAAGGGGGATGATGGAGAACGATCTTTCGTTTTTCGTAAGAAGTTCATAATCTTTAGTTTCTAAAGCCTTTATACATAAATCTTCTGCTATAAATGTAAAGGGTATACAGTTTGTCAATTGTGTTAATTTTCAAATTAATTATCACATTTTTAGTTATCTAAAGAGTAAGTAAAATTGAAGGGGGGAAACAGCTTGAGATTAATCTTCATAATGCATAAAGATATAGTCTTTATTTATTTTTATTTTTTTATCTGGACAGGGCTATGATATTCAAATTGGAAAAGGGTGCCCGAGTTTTGTTAAAAGCTTCTTTTCTTCTGACAATTCTACTATGAAATTGTGGTACAAAATAGAACTTGCAATTTACCAGTTGGACAATCTTTTGTCCATCTGAAATATTATATGTGTTTTGAGCTTTATTCTTGTTATTTTCCGCATTATTATTTAATTATAATATAAAACATTACATTATATTTTGTTTGTCATTTTATTGCTGGATTTTGAGTTTATAGATTTAGTTCGGAAACTCTTACGAAGAATTTATTTTTTCTGAATGCACTATGATTTGAGGGCCCAATTTTTAATATTCAACTGGCACGATGAATAGAGATTTTGTCACCAATAGTATTTTTTCTTCTTTAATTCGGACCTATAATTACTTTTCGTTCCACTTAGTATTTCTCTGTCCACCGAAACCATGCAAAATAATGCTTTGTTTTTTTGCAAGCATTTAGTACTATGTGTAGGGGTGTTAAATGGCTTGGCTTGCTAAATGGCTTGGCTTGCCTGGTGAGCCGAGCATGACATGGCATAGCTTTGCACAAAAGTGCTGCTTCGCTTGTCATTTTTTTTAATTGAAATTGCATATTTCTCTTGCAAGCCATTAGCGAGCTGGCTTGCAAACCAGACGACTAGCTAGCTCGCCCAAGCTGGCGAGTGGCTCACATGGTCGCATCACTGCTCGCAAGCCAAGCTAACAATCCCGTGTGTGATGGGCATTTGCAGTCTGCTTCTTCATTTGTTTGGTTCCGTAGTCATTTGTTTTCTCTTAAGGTTTAACCAACACAATAATGGCGTTTGTGTATGTAATTTATAGTGAAAATTGCAGAATGCTCTCATAACTCGTCATTGATTATGTCTTTTTTTTTTTTTTTAAGAATATAACTTGCAGGGAATATATGGCTGAATTTCACTTTGATGAAATAACCAAGGTCATTGGTATCGATGACAAGAGATATGAGAAGGGTAAAAATGTCTTAACATTCCTTTTTGCTAATTATTGAACAAAGAATTGCTTACTACAAACCTTTATTCTTTATTTGTCTACAACTGTATAAGAAGGTACATTTCTCTAAGGAGATTTAGTACTGAAACAGACTGATGGGACCTTGAGCTAAAGGTTTTGAGAATATATTGTTTCAGTTTCGCGCATTGAAGCCCAATCTGAAGATGAGGACGTGTATCTGGAACTAGACGTGCATAGACAGCTGTATAGTATGCTCCAGGGGGAGAAATATAGGATGGTGATATCGCATACTCTCAATTCAGACGGTTCAGCTGTTACTGGCTACATTTCTGAGGTTTATTTTCATCCTTTGTACATGAGTTATCAAATTATGGCGTTTTAGATAATCTATTCAATGTGGATTACCCCTATTTAGTAACCCGAAATTTACGGAAGATCTTGGACGGTATAGCCGTATTATAGACTGAGTTTGATTTTCTGAACGATGAATATTATACTCCTATTTCAGGGCAAACAGAAATCACTTGCGGACAAATTTGAGTATGTCATGCATGGACTGCTATATAAGATGTCAGAAGATAAAGAAAAGCAAAATGATGGAAGCAACACTGTTAAAGTGTATGATTTATACGCCTTTTCTTCAAAGAAATGTATTTTCTTTGTATTGTCCAATCTTTTCTACCAAACATGCTATCTAGGATGATAGAGCCTCATTTTGTGTTGAAATTTGATTATACTTTTTATGGTGCCTTATTGCTCTATAGTTTTCTCAACAATTTCAGTATTTTTCTCTTTCTCAACTGATTTTGAGTTTCTCTTCCTTTTATCTTTATGGTGATAGGGTGGTATATATTTCTTTTGGAGGGCTTCAGCTGATGCTGAAAGGTGATCCCTTGAAAATGTACAAGTTCAGACTTGATCAAAGGTTGTTTCTTCTCTTGAGGAAGATTTGAAACATTATTTTGTTCGGAATGCCAGCGTGGTCGATATGTATGAGAATTCTGGATGGTTTTGTTTTATTTATCATTGTGGTCTCTTTTTAACGATGGTGCAAAAATGAAAAACTCTTGATTGTGCTGAGGACTTGGAGCATTAAAATGGTAACTTTTTGAGCACATTCTAATTTCTTGCGAGCCTTGCATATTTGCTTACAACTATGAAATGTGGCACATTGACTTGAAACGTTCCCTTCTCTTGTTTTCATTCTATTCCTATAGGT